GTAATTATGAAATAACTACAATTTGATGCTGCATGATGACTTCCTGGTTCATGAAAATTCCCTCAGGATAGGAGGATAAATGAACAGTCAAGTATACTAATATCACATGTTATATTGATATGAACAGTTATGTCACATTCCCTTTCATGAGAGTAGACAGGCAGAACTACACTGCTAGGATTATTGGTAGTTGTTTCTATATGGTTCTGGCTTTCAATCAACCGAGACTTGCCAAGTGGTATTAAAAAATCAATGAGGGGGTCACACTATTTGGAATAAAATAGAAAAATTATCAATGATGTTATTTTTGGCATTGATGACAATCCTAGCAGTTGTACTTTATGGCCACAGAAAGATTCCTCTGTCTAAGTGTCCTATTAAGGCACCTCTGCCTATTGTCCACAAGTATTACCAGCCTGGGGATTTTATCATTGCTAGCATTACCTCTCAAGTCTACATTTTTTCAAGTCCAGTAACTTTCCAGAAGCCACCTTCTGAGGAAACCTTTGATGACCTTTTGTAAGTATTGTAGGCTGAAAATCTTCTATGGGTCTAGACAGATTTTGTGCTGCTTATATCATATAAGTTTTTTCTCTAAAGCTTGCACTTTGGAATGAGAAGAAAAGAAAGGGATGGCAAATTTTATTTAACACAATGTAATAAAATATTAAATTTGCCTATTTTTATTGAATATTGCAAATTGTGAAATATATGATAGTATCCAACAATGGTTATCTACTGGTGTGAATTTGAGACATAATCATATCAGCTATAAGTGATTTTATAATATAGATATACATTATATTCTGAAAAACTGAGAAAAAGGAAGCTACTAAAATCTCTAAGGGGAAAATGCTCCTCTTGTTATCAGTCATCTATCTATCTATACCATCTATCATGAACCTATCTATTTATCTATCACTCTATGTTTCTACCTATCATCTATTTTTGCCTGTAGTTATGTATATAATTATAATATAATATATAGACACATACAGATATCCCTACAACTATGTACAGTATATATTAAAAGGAAAAAAGTTGGGAAAGCAAATTTAATAAAATCAAAGAAAAGGAGTAAAAAACAGAAAGCAAATAAAGATAAGACAAAACAATGTATTTTATTTATGACCTCCCATTTTTTAAAAAAATCTGCTAATTTTCCCTATATCCTCTTTGCTCTTTTTAGATTAATCCAAATTGTCTCACATAGGTTTCAGATATAAATTAATATTCCATGATTTTCCTTTGTAGAGCAGTTACATATTCTTGTCCCAATTTCATTGCTCTAACGGAAACTTGTGTAGAGTTTTTTACATATGTTTCTTGGAGGCACACGACAGTGTCATTTCATGTTTTTTAATTTATGAAACATTTTCTTACATTTTTATGGTGAATTTATTTATTTATTGTAAATGTACACACATATGAAAAAAAAAAAGTTTCAAACTTATTCCGTACAATACATCTCCTATTTTCAAGGGAACAATTAAGAGAATGACCATGTCAGGATAGAATTAATAATAAGATATAAAGAATGTGGCAACCTGGAACCTGTTGTTCATAACCTAGGATGTTCACTCAAAATTATCAGCATATCCTGGCTTTGATTTTTGCTGTGAAAGAACTCAATGAAAATACTCAGCTCTTACCCAATGACAGTTTTGGATTCCACATCTTAAACAGCTACTTTCTGGCAAAGTGGACCTATCTAGCCTCAATGGAACTTCTATCCACTCAGGACAAATTTACCCCAAACTACAAATGTGATGATTGGAATAAGATTGTGGGAGTCATTGGGGGACCCACCTCTGAAGTCTGCCTCCACATGACGAATATATTGAGCACCTATAAGATTCCACAGGTAAAAAAAATAATAATCCAGGTTTGCTAGGTTTAAGATACTTTTGTAAATGAGAGATAGAACATCATAATTTACTAATTTGCTAGAGGATGTATTTATGAAGCATTGTAAAAAGTATGTAATTAGGTTTGAAAAAGCTGGCACACTTTGTTGTATTTATAAAAAAAAATTAGAATATTGGTAGTCCTCACTTATGATTGTAATGGATTTTGGAATTTCTGTCATGACAGGTGTAAGTTGAGGCATATATGTGACAAATCATTTTCCAGCAAAAAATATGATAAATTGTGTCAATGTGATCGCAAACCACTACAATCACATGTAAAGACTGATTGTTGGTTGCCAGATACACAGAATGTGTCTACAGTGGGGGGGGGGGTGACACCATTACAATTCCACAACAGAGTTCTAAGTACTTCTTGGGAGGTGGAGGTTCCATCGTAATTTAGCCTTTTTAAGCAAGGACTACCTGTTTTTTGCAATAATACATCCATCTGTCACCATACATTCTATATTTGCCAAGAAACTTGGTTAGAGGGACTTTGAAAAAAAAAAGCTGCAGAAAGTCTTTTTTTTTTTGAAAAGATTGCAATTGATGCTGTTGAATAACAAAATGTTTTAAGAACATATATTATTTCCTGAAATAGCTGTGGATATAAATGTATTAGTTAAGATTTGTCATAAGAAATATTTAAATGGTCAGAAACGCCCATAAGAAAAAAGACTGAAACTAGTTCTAATTGTCTTTCCAATAAAAGAATGAGAAAATTCATTTCCACTCTCTCTGCTCCCTTCCTATGATTTTTTTCCCCCAAGATCTTATATGGATCTTCTCCAATAATAAATGACAAAAGCAAAGAAGATTTTTTTCACCAAATGTTTCCAAGTGGGACCCATCAGTATTTGTGCATACTTGAGTTGCTACTGCATTTCAAGTGGACCTGGATCGGTGTGATTGTTTATGATGATGACAATGGAGATGTGTTTGTTCAAGATATACTTCCCTTATACTCTCAGGAAGGTGTCTGTGTGGACTTCTTAGAAGCATTCCCCAAAATATCTTTTTCAGGTGACATTGCTGAAACAGCAATGGAATGGTTTGCAACTTCACGTATTGTCACAGATACTACTGCCAATACTGTTATCATTCAGGGTGAAATACATACTATGAGTGTCTTAAGAACAATTTTCCACTTTTCACAATTTTATGATGTAATAATTGAAAGTCGAGTGTGGATTATGACAGCCCAGATGGATTTTACATCTCCTGGTATAGCAAGAGATTGGGACATACATTTCCTTCATGGGGCTTTGTCCTTTGCTGTTCATTCAAATCATCCTAGAGGATTCCAGCAATTTTTAAGGGAAAGAAAACCTGCTTTAGGAACTGGAGATGGGTTTATCCGAATCTTCTGGAAAGATGTATTTAGTTGTGATTTCTCAGATTCCAGTCTACCACAGAGAAATGAGAAGACCTGCACTAAAGAAGAAAAATTGGATAGTCTACCTGTAACCCTATTCGACATAAGCATGTCTGGCCACAGTTATAGTATCTACAATGCAGTTTACATTATGGCATATGCTTTGTATGCCATAATTTCATCCAAGTCAAAAGAGAGGACAATGATAAAAAACAGGAGACAACAATATCTGCTTGAAGACCTCTGGCAGGTATCTACTAAGAAAAGCTCTTTGTTTAGATAATTAACTGCATCACAACATATAATATTGAGACAAATTATTAGAGATACCACTTAGACTTATAAACCACTTCACAGTGCTTTAACGTCATATTAATGTAATTCAATATCACCAGAAATGCCAGGAAAGCAAATTAAAACAGATATGAAAGAAAAACTCCTCATTGTTTTTATTGAATTACAATTAATAAATATTATCAAGTTCTTAATATAAATTCAAGTTACACAGAAAAAAATAGAAATACCAAGATACTACTAAAATGTAAATAAATAGATGTAGAACATATACAGATTAATCAGATTAACCATACAAAGTATTGAAGTATTGACTCTATTGCTATTGAGGTAAACCATACAATCCATCAAAATTTGATGAAATTATGATTGCTGACACTGATATCTCATTATTTTAACTGTGTTATTTTTAGCAATACCAGCAATAGTTAGCAATAGGATTTATACTTATATATCACTTTACAGTGCTTTACATCCCCCTCTAAGCTGTTTATAGAGTCAGCATATTGCCCCTAACAATCTGGGTTTCTGCTTTACTGATATTGAAAGACTGGAAATGTAAGTCAACCTTGAGCTGGTGAGAATCGAATTGCCGAACTGCTGACAGCTGGCAGTCAGCAGCACTACTGCATTCTTACCATTGTGTTACCATCACTCTTAAAGGAGATATTGCCCACTCAGAAAATAAATGTAAAAGAGGCAATAAAAATAAATAAATAAAAAGAAGTTATTCCCTTAACTTGTAAATATTTATCACAAACCATGAGGTGTAATGTTGGCTGCTTTTTGGAGAAAATTGCAAAAATTAAGGGAATATCACTTTGTTTAAATAATTAAAGAACACATTTCTCTTTCTGTTTTTTTCTTCTTACTTTTTAAATATATAGAAATACATATTCAGAATGTTAAGAAGAGATGAAATATGTAAAATGTTATATATTTCTCTACACAAAAGTTTTTATTTTTATTTTCAGTGTGTAGCCATGTTTCCATTACTGTAAAGACAGTACAAACCTTTCCTACTATTAATGGGTTATAATTTTATAATATCTTTATTACATTATTAAGTTAAACACTAAAATATAAACTAACAAAACATAAAGAGCCTCGGTGGAGCAGCGATTAGAGTACAGTACTGCAAACTACTTCTGCTGGCAGCCAGCTGCCTGCAATTTGGCAGATTGAATCCTACCAGGCTTAAGGTTGACTCAGCCTTCCATCCTTCTGAGGTGGGTAAATCAAGGGCCCAGATTGTTGAGGGCAATAGGATGACTCTGTAAACCACTTAGAGAAGTACTGTAAAGAGGTATATAAATCTAAGTGCTATTACTATAAAAGGAAAAAAGAGAAGGGAATAATAAAAAAACAGGATCCATAATATAATTTTCTCTAAATATTAACATAACACAAAGACAATTGTCAAATGTAAACAAGCATATATTTAAATGCTCTCATTTTTTCCCAGAAAAATCCAACCTAATCCTCAAATTCCAAAGTCAAAATTTGATTATATTTTTGAATTATAAATTTTCCTCTACCAAAATTTGATTTGGAAATTGCCGATTTTGATAACATTTTTTTCTTATAGAAAGGGAGAAAGACAGCACTCTCTGGGCTTGCTTGTTTTCTTGCTTGTCTTTCATTACCCAAACAAGGTATCATCAGTGCTCATTCATCTTGTTTTAAATTGTGTTAGGATTATTATAAATGTTCTCCACGATCTCATTTCTTCTCTATCTTCTCCTCAATTCAGCTCCACAAGTTTATAAGAAATACTTTCTTTAAAAACAGTGCTGGAGAAAATATTTCCTTTGATGACAAAGGCCATTTAATTTCTGGATTTGATATTTTTAACTGGGTCACATATGAAAATAATACATTTACAAAAGTCAAAGTTGGATGGGTAGACCCAAACCCTTCTTCTTCTAAATCTCTCACTATTCATGAGGACTCCATTGTATGGCCGACAAGACTTAACCAGGTATATATTTTGTACAGATAACCTATATTTTTGTATGTATGTTGTATGTATGTATATACTTCTGTTTTGAATTTGGTATGCTATATAGTTTAATGTACAATTATATGACAGTATCTTGACAACATTCTGAATAATATGCCACTCAGATATTTCTCAAAATGCTTGACATTCTAAAGGACTCCATTTTATGGACAAGAAAAATTAAATGGGTGAATACAATATTTTGAACCCAATTTTGAACCACATTCTGAATATTGAAACTGATGTTCTACTCTTCGAACTGTAACATCAATTACCATTTTGAGATACTGAAATCATGTTTTGAATTAAATAGCTCTAAAAAGTGGTATGTGATTCTTATTGAGAATTGGAAGAGTTGACTAAGTGAAAACTCCTGGATTGTAAAAAAAATATTGGAAGACAATAGCAAAATACTTCAATGCTGTTGTTGAGAAGCTGACTTTGGTAGTAAGTCGAATGAGGCCATTATCTTAGATAATTGACCAATGTCTGAGGTAAATTAAACCTGTTTCCTGCTCATTGCTTAGTGTGCAGATCCAAGATGAATACTATCTGGAAATGCTTGTCACAGCACCTATACCTACACCATAATAGTAATCTGACAATGTCTCATTTTCAACAATAAATATAGAAAAGATGTATCTATATATTATAATATAATATATATTTAGCATATAATATAATATATACTGCTCAAAAAAATTAAGGGAACACTTAAACAACACAATGTAACTCCAAGTCAATCATACTTCTGTGAAATCAAATTGTCCACTTAGGTAGCAACACTGATTGACAATCAATTTCACATGCTGTTGTGCAAATGGAATAGACAACAGGTGGAAAGCATAGGCAGTTAGCAAGAATTCCCCAATAAAGGAGTGGTTCTGCAGGTGGTGACAACAAACCACTTCTATGTTCCTATGCTTTCTGGCTGATGGTTTGGTCACTTTTGAATGGTGGCAGTGCTTTCACTCTAGTGGTAGCATGACACAGAGTCTACAACACACACAAGTGGCTCAGGTAGCGCAGCTCATCCAGGATGGCACATCAATGCGAGCTGTGGCAAGAAGGTTTGCTGTATCTGTCAGCGTGGTGTCCAGAGGATGGAGGTGCTACCAGGAGACTGGCCAGTACATCAGAAGACATGGAGGAGGCCGTAGGAGGGCAACAACCCAGCATCAGGACCGCTACCTCTGCCTTTGTGCAAGGAGGGACAGGAGCAGCACTGCCAGAGCCCTGCAAAATGACCTCCAGCGGACCACAAATGTGCATGTGGCTGCTCAAATGGTCAGAAACAGACATCATGAGGGTGATATGAGGGCCTGACGTCCACTTGTGGGGGTTGTGCTTACAGCCCAACACCGTGCAGGATGTTTGGCATTTGCCAGAGAACATCAAGATTGGCAAATTTGCCACTGGAACCCTGTGCTCTTCAAAGATGAAAGCAGGTTCACACTGAGCACATGTGACAGATGTAACAGGGTCTGGAGATGCCATGGAGAATGTTCTTGCTGCCTGCAACATCCTCCAGCATGACCAGTTTGGCAGTGGGTCGGTAATGGTGTGGGGTGGCATTTCTTTAGAGGGCCGCACAGCCCTCCATGTGCTTGCCAGAGGTAGCCTGACTGTCAATAGGTACTGAGATGAGATCCTCTGACGCCATATGCTGGTGCAGTTGGCCCTGGGTTCCTCCTAATGAAAGACAATGCTAGACCTCATGTGGCTGGAGTGTGTCAGCAGTTCCTGCAAGGTGAAGGCATTGATGCTATGGACTGGACTGCCTGCCCATTCCCCAGACCTGAATCCAATTGAGCACATCTGGGACATCATGTCTCTCTCCATGCACCAATGCCACATTGCACCACAGACTGTCCAGGAGTTGGGGAATTCTTTAGTCCAGGTGTGGGAGGAGATCCCTCAGGAGACCATCTGCCACCTCATCAGGAGCATGTCCAGACATTGTAGGGAAGTCGTACAGGCACGTGGAGGCCACACACACTGCTGAGCCTCATTTTGACTTGTTTTAAGGACATTACATCAAAGTTGGATCAGCCTGTAGTGTTTTTTTCCACTTTAATTTTGAGTGTAACTCCAAATCCAGACCTCCATGGGTTGCTAAATTTGATTTCCATTGATAATTTTTGTTGACTTTGTTATCAGCACAGTCAACTATGTAATGAACAAACTTTTAATAAGAATATTTCATTCGTTCCAATCTAGGATGTCTTATTTTTGTGTTCCCTTTATTTTTTTTGAGCAGTGTATTATATATTTATATATAATATATTTAAATTTCAGCAAAGCATTCAACAAAGTAGACCACAACCTACTTCTTAGTAAGCTAGAAAAAAGTGGAATAGATAGCTCCACCACTAGGTGGAATCACAACTGGCTGGCAAACCGTACTCAATGAGTAGTCCTTAATGGGTCTAAGTCTACATGGAGGGAAGTAAGCAGTGGGGTGCCACAAGGTTCCGTCTTAGGCCTAATACTCTTCAATATCTTCATTAACGACTTAGATGAGGGAATAGAAGGGGAACTTACCAAATTTTCAAATGATACTGGAATAGCTAACACCCAAGATGGATCTTGACAGACTAGAACACTGGGCTATAACTAACAAAATGAAATTCAATGTAAAAAAAAGTAAAGTCCTACACTTAGGCAAGAAAAACCAAAAGTACACATATAGACTGGATGAAACCAGGCTCAATAGCCTGGTAACTGTTAGAGGGATCTTAGAGTCTTAGTGGACAACTAGCTAAATATGAGGCAGCAGTGTGCAGCAGCCGTCCCAAAAGCTAATGCAATCCTAAGTTGTATTAACAGAGGGATACAATCAAGATCAAGGAAAGTACTAATACCACACTATAAAGCCTTAGTAAGACCACACCTAGAGTACTGCATCCAGTTTTGTTCACCACATTAAAAAAAATGGTGTTGAGACTCTAGAAAAAATACAGAGAAGAACAACCAGGATTTTTAGGGGATTGGAGGCTAAAACATACAACAAACTGTTGCAGGAACTGGGCTTGGCTAGTCTAGTAAAGAGAAGGACCGGGTAGACATGATAGTGGTCTTCCAATATTTGAGGGGCTGCCACAGGGAGGAAGGTGTCAAGCTATTTTCTATAGCCCCTGTAGGCCAGACAAGGAATAATGGATAGAAACTGAACAAGGAGAGATTTAACCTGGATATAAGGAGAAACTTTCTGACAGTGAGAACAATCAACCAATGGAAAAGCTTGCCCTCGGAAGTTGTGGGAGTGCCATCACTTGAGACGTTCAAGAAGGGATTGGACTGCTATTTGTCAGAAATGGTGTAAGGTCTCCCGCTTGGGTGGGGGGTTGGACTAGATGACCGACAAGGTCCCTTCCAAGTCTGGTTATCAGTTATCTATTATGTTTTAATAAAAGGAATGCCACACGGCATGGCAGAACTACCAAACTAATTCATTTATTATTATTTTTTAAATAAATTTTATTGAATTTACAATTAAAAACATATCAACAATACATACACAAAAAGAAAAAAAAAGAACATCTGGGCTAGCAAACCGGAGAAAGAAGAGTAAAGGGTGTAGAAGAAAAAGGAAAGAAAGAAAAGAGTAAGAGATGGAAAGGATACATCTAAAAACAAACAATATCCTTTTTGACAGTCTGTAAAATCCATTTCACCTAGATTAATTCAAATATGCTCATCTCGTCTACTATACTTAAATTACCCTTTATCTTTTAGTCAGTTTATCTCTGGCTTAACCAATTGTACCAAGAATTCCAATTATTGTGAAAGGAATGCCACATGGCATGGCAGAACTACCAAACTAATTCATTTATTTTTCATCTCCTTCATTCAGAAAAGACCCCAATCCCTATGTAATGACTATTGTCATTCTGGTTCAAGTAAGGTAAAAATAGAAGGAAAGCCATTTTGCTGCTATGACTGCTTTTCATGTCCAGAAGGGAAGATTACAAATCAGAAAGATAATTTTTCTTCAATATATAACTACTAACCTTCTAAAACCTATGTAGCATAATTTCAGAATGTTATGTAGGCCTGTATGTGTTATGTATTACAGGAGATTTAAGAAAGATGGTTGGGATGAGTGAAATGTAGAGAAGTACTTTATCCCCTCCCTAATTAACTTCCACAAAAGATAAACCTTGTCATCTCAGCCTTAAGACCTCCAGTCAATTACTGTTGCTAAAACCCAAAGGGATAGAACAGATTCTGGAAATTAAAATAAATTTAACATCAACTCTACAAGAGAAACTATTTGTTTGTTTGTTTACTTATTTATTTATAGAAAATTTATATTGCTACCTGCAATATAAATTGTATACCTGCAATTATACATGGTGACTCGAGGAAGCGGTTCATGAAATATTGTTGACTTCTCTTAAGATTTATAGCTCTGCTCTAAATTTCTCACTAAAAACCTCATGTGCTATTCTATTTAATCAAAAACTTTGCTGGCTATATCTAATCACATGCATATTCTAATTGGCATAATTTTTTATCAAAGGCTTGAATCTTCCATTAATTTTTAGATTAATCAAGCTACCTGCTACACTCTAAATAAACAATAAAATTGTGGACCCTTCTCTACTTTAAAATAAATTCTTTAGAAAACTCTCCTCATCCCAGAATTTGTTCCTGTCTGTTTTTTGAACATGGTGATGGATATTTATAATGAACTACAAATTTAATTTGAGATAAAAAAAAAAACTGGCATCTAAAAATTTAGTTTATCAAACCATTGCCAAATGGTCAAGTGCTTTTAGCCTAGATAATAGCTCTATAACTCCCCAAAGGCTCTATTTGAAGCATAACTGAGGGCTATTTTGCTAAATTTTGAGCCATGATGATGCAATGTTAGTATTGAAAGCTAACTCTGCCCACAGTATTGAATTTGATTCTGACTGGCTGAAGGTTCACTCAGCCTTCCATCATTCTAAGGTCAATAACATGAAGAAACAGATTGTTGGGGGCAATATACGGACTCTTTTATGTTAGTGCTGTAAAGTACGATGGGGTAGTATATAGCAATAGCACTTAGACTTATACAGTGCTTTACAATCTTCCCTAAGCAGTTTTACAGAGTCAGCATGTTGCCCCCCCCCCATATAAGTCTAAATGTTATTACTTTTGCTACTGCTAAATTTCTTGCTTCTTTTACCATTACTTCATTACTTCAGTAACTTCTACATCATAACAATAACAATTTATTCATTTGTTCATTCATTTGTTTCCACAGACATGGATGATTGTTTGCCATGCCTAGAAGGAGAGTATCCAAACAACAACCATGATTCATGCCTCCCAAAACAGATAGTTTTCCTGTCTTATGAAGATCTATTAGGGACTAGTTTGGCCACTACTGCACTCATCTTTGCTTGCATTGCCACGGTAGTACTTGGAATCTTCATCAAATACCAGGACACTCCCATAGTCAAGGCCAATAATCGGAACATTACCTACCTTCTCCTCACCTCCCTTGTGCTCTCATTCTTTTGCCGTTTATTATTCATTGGACAACCTGAAAAGGTGACTTGTCTTTTGCGACAAACTGCTTTTGGAATCATCTTCTCAGTAGCCATTTCTTGTGTATTGGCCAAAACCATCATTGTGATTTTAGCTTTCATGGCTTCAGTGCCAGGATCCAAGATGAGGCGATGGCTGGGCAAACAGTTAGATAATTACATTGTCATTTCCTGCTCCCTCATTCAAGTTGTTGTTTGTACCATATGGCTTATAACCTCACCCCCATATCCAGATGCTGATCTGAATGTAGCGGCAGATGAAATAATCCTAGAATGTAATGAAGGCTCCACTGTCATGTTTTATTGTGTCTTGTTATACCTGCTTTTCCTTGCCATTGTTGGTTTCTGTGTGGCTTTTCAAGGTCGGCATTTACCAGATAGTTTTAATGAGACCAAATTCATTTTCTTCAGCCTGTTGTGTTTTTGCAGTGTCTGGTTGTCCTTTTTTCCAACCTATCTGAGCACCAAAGGGAAATACATGGTAGCTGTGGAGATCTTTTCCATATTATCATCTAGTATAGGACTACTAGGTTGCATATTTTTTCCCAAACGCTTTGTCATTCTACTGAGACCTGATTTGAATACTAAAAAACAATTAATGAGAGGTAAGAAAGAAGAAATATAATTCCATAACTGGTTCAGTGAAAGATACATTCACTGAAGACCACTCAGAAAATGGAACTAAATGAA